GAACGTTTCGGGTTGAAGCCAAGATGTATGTTTTTAATATTGATAAGACTGGTATTTTTTTTAATCTAATGCCAAACCGTACTTTGGATTTTAAATTCAAATAATGTTATGGGGGCACTAAAAGCAAAGTAAGAATAACAGCAGTTTTATGCTGCAATGCTGACAGAAATGAAAAATTAAAACTATGGATAGCAGGATAATCAAAAAATTCAAGATGTTTAAATAAATTCGATCGTTCCCATTTGACATGCTATTATACCGCTCAGAAAAATGCCTGGGTAACTTTTGTAGCATTTCGAGAATGACTTCTGCGTTTTCAACGCAATATGACAGCACTAAACAGAAAAGTGTTGTTAACAATGGGAATTGATTTCCGCAATGTTAAGGTCGTTTACTTTCCGGCTAACACAACAAGTGCACTGCAACCTCTTGATCAAGGCATAATTGCTGCTATGAAGAAACGATATCGTGCACGACTTGTTAGAGAAGCAATTTTTGGCAATAAGAAAAGCCAAAATGGAATACTTTACAAGCGATAAGAGCGTTGTCAGATTCGTGGTGTAGCTCGTTAGTAGCTTTTTACTTATATGCTTTACTCATTGATAGGCTGAATTTGCTGATGTAGCATGGGATAATTATCAACAAATTTTGTCAGTTCAACTGATACAGGTTAGTTTTAATGATTACGTCAGCGTTGATGGTTGGTACGATAACGACTACAGAAGCAGTAGACCTAGACTTAGCTTTAGTGAATGTAGACCAAGAAATCGAAGAAAAAGAAGAAGGCGAAAAACACGATGAAGAAGAAGTTAATATAATAGCACCTTCAAGAGCTGAAGTTTTAGCCGCTCTCTATACAATCCAAAGATAACATAAATATTATTAGTTATCCAACAATGTAAGTATTAACATCACTATTTCAAGATTTGTTGATTGAGAAGTGAATGTTTCTCAAATTTTATGGATTCTTTGAATAAAATGATGCCTAAGACGAACAATGCCCATTCGAAGGCAAAAAATAAGTGATTATTTTCAAAAAAAAATAATGTTTATTATGATATAACGTACTTATTATATTAAACTTATTACACAGTCTATGATAATATGTCTACGTAGCCTACCCATTATCATTCATTATAACAAATTAGTTCGTTATATCGCAAATACGAACATCTCATTATAACGAACGGTTTGCTTTCCTCTCTGTGTGTTCGTTATATCGAGGGTTTACTGTAATAACGGAGCCATAAGTATCGAACGATATAACAAAAAAAACGTTTTTTCGAGATATCTAGTTAGCTATGTATTTCATCCAAATACAAAAAGTACATTAAATTGAGTTCATGAAACTGCAATTCTTCCTTATTTAATCATCTCTCTATCTCCGCTAGTTTTCGAGATCTCCATACTAAACATGGAAAAAACTCGCCCTGCATAGCTAGAACTGGAAATATTTGGGTTTAGCCGCACGTCTTTAAAGACGTAATTTCTGATTAATTTATAATTTTATTCTTATTGTATTTGTTATTATTGTTATATTAATTGTATTTTTTAATAAAATGAGTTTGGGACCCGTTGCCTAATGGACCTACAACATTTTGTTGCATAATCCATTTTTACATGTTACAAGTATTGATATCTACTTGATACGGCTAAACTCGAAACTTTCTAGTTCTAGGTTTAGTGTTAGTTCTAGTTTTACACTACCACTGTTATTATGTAGAACTAACACTATACCTAGAACTAAAAAGTTTCGGATTTAGCCGTATCAATACTTGTAACATTTAAAAATGGATTATGCAACAAAATGTTGTAAGTTCATTATGCAACGGGTCCCAAACTGATTTTATTAAAAAATACAATAAATATAACATACATAAATTCTTGTTTTACTGAGGTTTGACTTATTCATTCATATATAAAAAACACTTCTTCTAAGTATCAAAATGTTTTATTATTTATATTATTAAAAACATTATTTTTTCTATAAATAATTATAGAAAATAATTATATAAATAATTATTATAAAAATATAAATAATTATAGAATTATTTTATTATATAAATAATAAAACATTTTGATACTGAGAAGTGATTTTATACAGCGTGTCCCGAAACTCAACGTCAAGCGGGCACCGGGTGAGGGGCCAACCCATACCTGTTCTGGTAAAAATGAGAAAAAAATTCCATGTCTCTTAGTTAAGTAGTAATAGACATATTTTTGAAAACGTCAGAAATGTTCGCAATTTAATAGTGATTTTTTTAATAATGTATTCCTTATGAACCATGCTACTGTAGAAGTCACAAATCAAACAACAAAAATCGTTAGTTTTGCAAAAAAATATATTAATTTGATTGAGTTAAGGTTGAAAGAATTTGTCTATCAAGTTTGACACATGATTTCTAAAGGCAAGTAATTTTAAAAGATGGCCTGTTTAGTCAAGTTTCCAAAATGGTACAACACTTGCCATTTTTCTTATCATACAAAAAATTATTGCCTGTTTTTCTGCAAAAAACACGTTATTTAAAAAATTCATACTTTTGTATGTTATTTGTATTTACTTTTTATTTCCTCTTAACTTTGTTAGAAAATGTGCCAGTCAATATCTACGAACTACAAAAGGTGTTTCAACAAGATGGTTGCCCGTATGTCTTGCAAAAAGAATCTTTCAAATAAGGTTAACCTAAAGACAAAATTAAACAAACAAATTTATTTATTATTAATTTTATAGCATTACTTTCTTAAAACTAAGGCAAATGCTCAAATTATTTGCCGTCTGCACTAATACAAGCTCTGCATCGTCACAGAAACGATCTTTTTACTAGTTATGCAAATCTCTTTGCATTTATTTATTCTGCTGCTGTATAAATATTGTAGCGCAGTTCGGCAAGATTTTCAATCGGTTTTTAATACACCGTTTCTTTTATGCAATCCTAATAAGAAAATTAAGGGGATTTAGACCCAGGGAATGAGGAGGCCACGTTATCGAACCATATTTCTGGGTATTCTGTATGCAATCCCGTATAGGACAAGCATAATGAGCTGGGCAACCATCTTGTTGAAACCACATTTATCTGTAGATATTGAGTGGCACATCTAACAAAGTTGTTAAATCATTTTGGAGGAAATACAAATAACATACGAAAGTATGAATTTTTTAAATAACGCGTTTTTGGCAGTAAAACAGGCAATAATATTTTTTAGGAAAAGAAAAATGGTAAGTGTTATACCATTTTGGAATCTTGACTAAACAGGCCATCTTTTAAAATTATTTGCCAAAGGTGTTGTACTACTACTTTTTTTTAGAAATCGTGTGTCAAACTTGATAGACATAAATTCTTTCAACCTTAACTCAATCAAACTGATACTTTTACTTGCAAAACTAACGACTTTTCTTGTTCGATTTGTGACTGCTATAGTAGCATGGTTCATGAGAAATACATTATTAAAAAATCACTATTAAATTGCGAACATTTCTGACCGTAGTACCTAAAGATATGATGTACGGGAACGATTTTTAACATTTTCAAAAATATGTCTATTACCACTTAACTAAGACACATAGAATTTTTTTCTTATTTTTACCAGAACAGGTATGGGTTGGCTTCTCACCCGGTGCCCGCTTGACGTTGAGTTTCGGGACACCCTGTATGTGAATAAATATAACAATAATAAGAAATAATAAATACAATAAGAATAAGGCCCACTTTTACCAACTCTCAATAAATTTATCCGATAGATAAATCCAGCTCTTAGCCAATAAGAGCGCTGTAACCATGGTTACTATCCGCTAGATAGTTTATCAGGAGGTTGGTAAAAGTGGGCCTAATGATTAGAATTAAATTTTCGATATAATATAATTAAATAGAATTTGTTAATTTCAATTTATTTGGTTTAACTGCTACCTCAAAGAAGTAAAATTAGAATTAATTGTTTTTACGATGAGTTATACTTCGTTCATTACCCCGCACCAATGACGTCATTTCTATTCAACATTCCTATTGCATTACGATAAATAAACCAAAAGACGATAAGGCGAAAAATAATACTTCGCCTTGAATGAAAAACTATAAGTATTAATTAAGTATATCATTTAAATTCTTTTAACATTATTTAGTTTTAATCAATAATTTCAAATCAATTTAAATATTAATTTCTTTTTGGTATTGTATATTTCACAGAAAAATGCATTTAAACACATCTATTATATAAACGCAGGTGTGTTTGACCTGTTGTAAATAGGGTCAAAAGTAGGTGTGGCTCAGGAAACTGACAGCTAAAGAAAAAATTATGATTTATAACATAAAGATATTATCAATATCATCTTTTCTTTATTATTTTAAATAATTGCAACTATATTGATGTAATCTTAAAAGTAAAAAAAAAAAGTTAGGTTAATTAGAAGAGAGGTTATGTTTTCTTTCTTGAAGGACAACGCCTACCTGATTTTCACGGAATAAAACAACAAAAAAATAGATATTCCCGCCGAAACGGGTTATGCAAGATAAGTTATCGATCCGGTAATAATTTCGGTTATTAACGATTTCAATAAAAAACGTGACATTAAAAAATAACTTTAACTTAAAGTACATTGACGGTGTAAGAGAAAATGACTTGGGGTCAGGTTGTTAGATTGAAAAACATGGCTACCGCGATGTAATAGTTTCATACGAAATGCGAAGAACGTTACTACGAGAATAAGTAATCGATAGATAGTAGTGGTTTTTCTCGTTTTTCAATAGCAAATTAGGTCGGTTATCGATTCGCAAAAGTAATCTGGGGAATTTTCGGTTTGGAAACCGATCGATTTTTGGGGGAAAAGGGGGGACTCGATTCAACGATTTCTTCTTCAACCAAACACATGACACTCACACAACCTACCCAGATCAATAGTAAATAACCCAGTTTTAATTTTTCAAAAAATTTTAACTTAACTTAACCTCAGTTTTATTATACCGTTATGTGTTGTTTGTAATTCAGTTTTTAGTTGTATTACTTACCTCCCCCATTGCGGTCCGCCTGTTGTTGTAGCAGGGTCACTTCTAAGGTGTTCCGGTGCAGTTGTCGCCGTTAAATATACAAAAACTTCATAAAGAGTGCGTGACGCGGTGTGATCTGAGTTTGTGGTGTTCTTAGAGGAGGGCTTTTTAAAAGGGTTTTAAAAGTGTTGTCGACACACACCAAGCGTCCGTTTCAACACAGCACACGATCACTGGCGCGAGCCAACTGTCGGCGGCTGCCTGCGCTGTCGCAGTTGGTATTGAGCTATGACGTCATACTGCGGACCGGCGCCGATCGCCGTGGTGGGGGTAAAGGCGTCGCGACGACGCTCTTGAGTATAGCTTCACGGTTTTCACCTCCCTTTGACGCCGAGATTTCGTATGTGTTTCGCAATTTTACTCAACGTACCAACTGACTATTTACAACTATCAACCTAATACACTACGTTTAACGATGAATCATTCTTGGTTTATTGTTAATAGATAATGTGGATAACTTCTGAAAATGCTTGTGAAATTGAGACATAACCCAGACGATGAACCACTACTCGTTTATTGTTAATAGACATTGTTTTAATATTAAATACACTCAGCAGCAAAAGTCTGCGTACAACGAACGTAGAATGCTTTAAGCAGTAAAAAAATAGTGATAATCTAAAGCGATAAACTTCAACTCATATTTTTTCTGTATGTTAACAATATATAAATTTATTAACAAAATATAAATCAATAAAATATAAACATTACTTAATAAAAAAAATTTAAACTAAAAATACTTCAAATAATGCCTATGCAAAAATCTGCGTACGGAGCAAAGCGACTAGTGTAAACCGGTTTTGTAAACAGATGTTTCCGGTTTTAGCAACAAAACATTTGATTTCAATTGCATTAGTAGAGAATTGGAAGCTAAAAGTTAGAATGGAGACGAAAGGAAAACAAATTTAAGTCGGAGAAAGAAAAATTATTTTAAAGCTATGGAAAGAGGGAAAAACTCTACGAGAAATAGGAGCAACTGTAGGCAGATCACATTCCTCTATTCAGAGAGTCATTAATAACTACAAAAACACTGGAGATTACGTCTCACGACCGCGAACGGGTCGACCATCCCTTCTAACATACCGAGAGGAGCGAAGCATTGTACAGCAGGTACGAAAAGAAGCTAGACTGACAGCAACACAAATAGTAGAAAATGTACAACAGCATGTTTCATAAGACAATCAGCAAAGATACAGTGAGAAGAATATTATCAAAGGCCAACTACCACAGTCACATTGCACGAAAAAAACCATTTGTATCAGATGTCAATCGAAAAAAGCGGATCGCCTTTGCTAAAGAACACTTAAATAAGCCTATAGAGTTCTGGAAGAAGGTTCTTTTTATAGATGAGAGTAAATTTTGTATCTTCGGCATTAAAGGAAAACAACTTGTGTGGAGAAAACCGGGTACTGCTCTTGTTCCTCAAAACTTAAAAGCTACTGTAAAACATGGAGGTGGTGGAGTGATGGTTTTGGGGTGTATGTGCGCCAAAGGAGTAGGAAAATTGGCTTTTATAACATCCACAATGGACCATAAACTATATATAGACATTTTAAAGGAAAATTTGAAGCCAAGCACCGACAACTTGGGTTTGGGGTCCGCATACATTTTTCAACAAGACAACGACCCTAAACATTGTGCCCACAATACCAAACTTTGGCTGCTATATAACACCCCAAAACAATTGAAAACACCCCCACAGTCACGGACTTAAATCCGATTGAACACTTGTGGTACTAAGTAATGTTTATATTTTATTGATTTATATTTTGTTAATAAATTATATATTGTTAACATACAGAAAAAATATGAGTTGAAGTTTATCGCATTAGATTATCACTATTTTTTTACCGCTTAAAGCATTCTACGTTCGTTGTACGCAGACTTCTGCTGCTGAGTGTATGATGGATCAAAGACTCCCGAAATAACTTAGATCGTTTTGAAATCATTTCCTGTTTATTAACAATTCGAATATAACTTTACTTTTTATTCGACATACTGATTTATTATTATTATTACGTATTATTTTACGTTCTATAATCAATACATAATAAAATTGAATTTAGTATACAGGATGAGTCAATAGTGCGGGGACGGAAGATAGTGCCTTTACTGTTGAAAATTAAAAAAATGTTTTTTTTGTAATTCCCGACGGTAATGAAAGCTATTACAGTACTCAAACGGGTGTTGTAATGAAACTCCTTACAGCATCCGATGCTATAATGAGATTTTAGTAACATTTTATGGAACCAGTTCAAGTTGGTGACATTGGGTCATTAATTTTTCTAGTTGTCAATGTGACAATTTTTGTTTATGAATCTTTAAACACGTTTTGAGCATCGAATACAAGATCCGCAATGAAGAGGACATTGAACTCTGAGCAATTTCTCTTATTTTGGGAGGTGTACATGAAACATTTTTTTCAAGTGAATACATTTTGTGGTTTGACAAGTTCTAATTGTCAATTCAAATTTCTATTTTCAAGTGTTACGGTGTTACCAATTGCTACATACTTATTTCCCTACATTGTCAAATTTTTTTTTTGTTAAAAAAAAGGAATAAAGACGTTAATTACAAAAAATAGCATAAATATTGTTAATAGATAATGTCGATAACTCCTGAAAATGCTTGTGAAATTGAGACATAACCCAGACGATGAACCACTACTCCTTTATTGTTAATACACATTGTTTTGATATTAAATATGATGGATCAAAGACTCCCGAAATAACTTAGATCGTTTTGACATCATTTCCTGTTTATTAACAATTCGAATATAACTTTACTTTTTATTCGACATACTGATTTATTCTTATTTTACGTTCTATAATCAATACATACTAAAATTGAATTTAGTATACAGGGTGAGTCAATAATGAGGGGACGGAAGATAGTGGCTTTACTGTTGAAAATTAACGGGTGTTGTAATGAGACTCCTTACAGCATCCGATGCTGTAATAATAATAATAATAATCTTTATTATGCTAATAACCCGAAAGCATACATTCGTCAATATAAAATTTACAAGAAAGGTGAAAAATATAATAAAATATAATATATAAAATATTACACGTAACATTTACATAAAAACAAATACACAGTCATAATAATCCGTGTCAGAACAGTAGTGGCAGGTAAAAAAAGTTAATCTGTTCTTATACTAAACACATTCAAAGGCCTGTAAATCATTCGACAACTCTTCAATAGAGTAATATGCTTTACGCAATAAAAATAGTTACAAAAACTTTAAATGTTAAATTCCTATAATTACCAGGCAGACTATTAAAAAATTTTATTCCATAATAATTATAGGCGTTCCTAGATCTGGTCAGTCTCAACGCATCATGTCGGATGTCACCCCCCCTCCTAGTTTTGTAATTGTGAAAATCACCTTTTTTTTTTAGTTGACAATGAAGTAACATTGTATATTTCAAACATTCAAAGATATATAATGAAGGCAGTGTCAAAATTTTTAAATTGATAAAAGAAAAGCGGCAGTCTTCAGTATAGTTTAATTTGGCTATATTTCTAACGGCTCTTCTTTGTATATTAAATATTCTTTTATTAATCGCCGCGTGTCCCCAGGCAAGTAGTCCGTAAGTTAGTCCAACTGCATATCTTGTTTTCAAATTTTGAATGCTTAATCAAATTAAATAATATGCTTAACAAAAATGAAAGGTAAGTAATAAGGCCTTCTGAAGCCTTAGAAAAATACAGAGCGTTCCATTTAAACTGTTATTTTAAGTAAATTTTAAAACTACAACTAATGCTAGACCTAGTACTAGAAAGTTTCGGGTTTGGCCCGTCTTCAGACGCACGGCTAAGTTCTAGTTCTAGTTTTAGGTGTTATTCAGTGCTAGACTGATGTATGTTTTTATTGAACTAAAAGTAGAACACGTCTGTCAACTTGGCACTACATCTTGCGATTTGAATAAAAAAAACTATTGCATTAATTGTCGCTTAATTTGTTGTAATTTGTCGTAAAGTTTACAAATTTGTCGCTACTTTTTTTATACACAATATTTGAAGTAATGCATAACAGTGGAAATCTATGGTATAGAACCTAGATAACAAAAAACTAAGGACATCATTAATTGTTGCTTAATTTGTTGTAATTTATCGTAAAGTTTACAAATTTGTCGCGTCCTTTTTTATGAATAATTTTTGAGGAACACCTTTATAAAACTGTTGTAATTTACTTTCCATATTGTCCTTCCAAAATTTCATATCACGTCTTATAGAGGCTGTTTCGGTGACTCGGGGAACAAATTTAACCACATATACTAGAGTAAAATGATGACGATTCAAGTAAAAAAAAGCCTTCAAATTTCAAAGATACAGGCCATCAGAGTTAGGAAATTTTAACACATTTTTCCAAATATCTTAAACACTATTTACAATAAAGCGCTGAAATTTGGTACAGTATAAATCAATGTGATGTAAAATCGTTAGGCAATTTATGAGTTGGATCGGTCCGCGGGATCAATGCTATACAGGCTGTTCCTCAAGTTTGTTTGCTCAGAACTTTTTTATTCTGTCATAACCCTACATTTATTCTTTTCTGTAGTAAATTTAGTTTAGAAACTTTTATTACTCTTAGATAATACTGATAAAAATCACCGTTTTCGTGTGAAATGCAAAAATGTTGGGTTCCGATTTCAATAATAGCACTAAAAAAAAAGAAATCTAAGTTTTTGAACATTTCCTTTAGTATTTTTTATTACTTATCTTGTTATTTTATGTACTTTTTCTATTATTCCTGTTAGTGTTGTCGTTCTTTTGATTATTTTTGTTTGATTTTTAATTTATTGTTTTTGGATTCTTTTATTAAACCAACTAAAACAAATTAAAAATTTGATTTAGCTAAATTTACACTTGGACATGTTGCATACATAATAGTTATGACAGCTCAGTTCGATTTTCATTTTTCATTGTCAATTCAGATTTTTTTTTCTTTTTAGTGTTATTGAATTCAGAGCCTAACATTTTTGCATTCAATACGAAAACGGTGGTTTTTATCAATATTCTCTAAGAGTGATAAAAGTTTCTAAACTAAATTTACTATTAGAAACTGCAAATATAAATGTGGGGTTATGATAGAATAAAAAAGTTCTGAGCCAACAAACTTTAGGAACAGCCTGTATAGCATTGTTCCCGCGTACCGATCGAACTCAAGAATTGCCTAATGATTTT